TTCACTGCAACTAAAGCATCAACTTATTGAAGAATTTACAGGCCCTTCATTTGTAAATTCTCTTTGTGCATGAGTAATTAGAGTGTGTGAGAAAATGAGTGAGATGTTGCACTTTAAACATGCAAGGTATGTGATAATAAATAAACTTCTTTATTTTAAAGCCTGTTAAAAAAAGACGCTGCGGGGAATTATTTAATTGGGACAATCATTCAGAGGGTAAGAAAATACATGTTCCTTAGATATAAGTATAAAAGGAACAAATAAATTCTGTCCTTAACATTCAATTAAAGCAGTTCATCTACTTCTGCTAATGATATAAAAATGAAAAAAAAAAATTGTGGTTTATTCTTCAAAGGTCTCTCATCATAACATCAGTTTCTGATTTTAATGCTTGTAATGTTGCTGCCTGTCTGTTAGTTTACACTAAATACCCTCTGAGTAAAGGAGCTTTTGCTAATATTGGTTCTGAATTTACTTTTGTGTTTGCATCCTCTGCTTCTGCTGGCACGATCCACTTGAAAATGATATTCTGACATTACATGATCTATCTATTTAATTTCATGTTTGATATATACAAAAGAGACCAATCTAAAGATCAAACTAAAGGTGCGCGATTTCCCCATCGACTTTAGGCTCAAATGGGGGTCAAGAGGCCGAAGTGTGTGAGGAATAGTCACTTGCCTATGATTTTCCCTAAATTGTTCAAGTTATGACTAGTCAGCAGCCTTGCTGCCCAATAGGATAATGAGCAGGCTCTCGAAACTGGATGGCCAATAGGTTGTCATTCAGCTTAGAAGGAGGAGGAGTGAGTCTTTCAAGGAAGTGAGAAAGAGGGTACTGGAAGATGGAAGCCCCATCTCAAACTTTTCAAAAGTTCTATTAAAAAAAATCTGATTAACTGGGCCACCATCGTGAAGTGTTTCCAGCAACGCAGGGAGTTGTGCCTGGAGTCAGGCAGATGTGGAGGGCCTTTAAAACTGTCTGGAGCAGAAGGTGACTTGCAGGGAGCACCATAGTTCCCCCGTGACCTTTAGGGACATGAGATGACACAGAATTTCCAGTTGGCCTTCAACAATTCGCATTATTTCATCTTTCAAAAGGTCCATTAGCTGCCTACTGCTTGCATTTGGGTAACCCTTCCAACCCCTGCATCCTGCCGACCAGAAAACAGAGAGCTGGCACCCCAGCTGGCAGGAGGGAAGTCTGTACCCACTCCCAATAAAGACTCACCCCTACAGTTCTGAGGAAGGGTCACCAGACCCGAAACATTAACTCTGCTTTTTTCACAGATGCTGCCAGACCTGCTGAGCTTTTCTAGCAACTTCTGTTTTTGTTCCTGATAAACAGCACCTGCAGTTCTTTTGGTTTTTTGTTTAAAGACTCACCCCTAAACTGGAGACCAGTCAGTGTCAAAGAAGTTTTATAGTTTTAAGTGTGTGGGTTATCTGTCCAACAAAGACATTTCATGTGATTTTTTTTAAAAGAAGATGTATTTCTTTGTTGCAATTCATGTTTCTAATGCCAAGCTGCATAATGATGGGTTTTGCTATAGAATGCACTGATTAACGCTTTTTGCCAAATGACTTCACAGGTAAAGTCAGACTGTTCCAATATTTGATTTAATATTTAGGAATTATTTATTTCCTTTGTATCCATTTTTGGGTTGTCATTTAGCAGACACATATGGTCTTGTTTCAACAAAAATAACAGTGGAATGTGTGTCAAAAATAGTGTGGAAATAGAAGCCAGTAATTTAATGCCAGATTCTTGTCTGACTGAAATACTGCTGCTTCTTAATATCTGAGTGAATTTGCTTCAATTGACTTGCTATACAAGTAAACATTATGTTGCATCAGGTTGAAATGGAATTCTTTTTATCCAAACAAGCAAATCCAGATCATGTGCAATGAGAAGTTTAATGAAGTTATGGGAAGAACTTCCAGTACCTCCTAATTTCCTGCATCCATAGTTCTTTGGTTTTATTTAGTTTGGTACCTCCTGCCTGCTCTGTAATTTCTGCCACTGAGTTTCTCAATTTGGATTTCACCAGACCCACTCAGTTATAGACTGTATTATATTCAATTTTGGCCCAAACATGGACACAAAAGCTGAATTTCAGTAGCGAGGTAAGAGTGGTTGACCTTATCATCATGGCAGTTTTTGAAACTCTCTGCTGTTCGTAGTCATTCTTAGCACAAAGGAAGTTGAGTTTGCTTGTTGGAAGACAACTATCTCAGCCATAAGACTTTCCCTAGAGGAGTCGCCATGAGATATTATTTTTAGATGTTTTATCAATGACTTTCCCTTTAACGTTAGCACAGAAATGTGGATGCTCACTTATTTATTGCAGTGTTGTTCATAACTCCTAACATACTGAAGCAATTCATGCCCACATACAGTAACCAGGACAATATCCAGGCTTGAACTAATCATAAGGGCACAAGACAATGAGATGCATGAGCAGAAGTAGGCCATTTATCCCATTGAGTCTGCTTCACCATTCAAAGAACAAATAAGAAGGACATATGAAACATTGTCACGTCCCAGTTCCCCTTTAAATCACATACCAATCTGTCTTGGATTTAGACAACTGTTTTCAGCATTGCCACTGAGTCAAAATCCATTATGGGATTAACACTATCACCACAAGAAATAGAGTGGTTCAATGTGAGCACTCACACTTTTCTCAGGGCAACTATATTTTCTGTGAATCTTATGTAATCCTGTGCAAGCTTATAAGGGAGAAGGGAATACAGGGTTATGTGATATAATTAAATGAGGAAAGATAGGAGAAGGCTTAAGTGGAGCAGCAACTTGTGCTGCTTAGTCTGTTTCTGCTTGAGATAAAGGATCAACCACGATCTTGTTCAGTGGCTGAGTGGTTTTGATGGACTGAACAGCCTATTTCTGCTCCTATTTTCTATACTTCCATATGTAACTTAGCAACAAATTTCAACTTAGCAGATTATCCACATCCTGACAACAAAATTAAAAATAACCAACAATTCCATTCTCTGTGAATACAAATAATCAATGGATTAGTAAATTAACAACATGTGTTACTGCAAAGTAACATTGTACAGAAAATGAACTGTCTGCAAGGACAGATGTTGATTATGATTTTAAGATATTTTAGGCTTTGTGTCAGTTATTTCCATTAGCTATTTAGCTTGCAATGTATGTAAGAATTTTGCTGCCTTTGTGAATGTCAGACAAGGAGATAAAGACTAATCCCTTTAATCCATAAAGCTTAATTTGTTCTCATAAATACAGTTCTGCAATCAGTCTGTACAGTCTTTAGTGAGTCAGAAGAGGTCTTGTGTAGTCCTTTACATCTTCTGGGCTGTGTGAGTAGGAATGGGAAACTCTAAAAGTAGTGCCCTATCCAAGAGTATCTTGGAAGACCTCAAAATGAACACCAAGTACACAGAAGAAGAGCTCTCCTTATGGTACCAGACATTCTTGAAGGAGTGCCCAACTGGCTTGATCACCATGGCACAATTTGAGAAGATCTATTCTGGCTTCTTCCCAGATGCAAACCCCAAAGATTATGCTCAACATGTCTTCAGGACCTTTGACACCAACAGTGATGGGACCCTGGATTTTAAGGAATACATCATCGCCCTTCACCTCACCTCCTCTGGAAAGACGTCACAGAAGCTTGAGTGGGCTTTCTCTCTCTATGATGTAGATGGCAACGGCACAATCAATAAGGAAGAAGTACTGGAAATTGTTAAGGTATGGCTAAATTTTAAATCAATGCCCAAAACTGCACCATGTCAGTTTAGTAAATTGGTGAACAACTCACATTCCATCTTGGTGTTATTTTCTTCTCTCTGTTTGCCCTAATGCTTACCATTCAGCTGCAGAGCATATTTTGCGTGCAACCTTTCCAATCAAGGCCTCTTCTGCAGACAGTGACCATTATCTGCAGAAATAGCCGGAGATGAGTGAGCTGATACTATTTCTTTTCTCCTTCTCAACTTTTCCCAAGACAATCACGGGGTTACCTTATACAAATGAACACATCACACATTCTACCATTATACAACTTAATTTCAAACTCTGCAGTAACTTCAAGTTATGCATTCACTGCAAAACAAAATCTTGAAATTGTTTTTATTTCTAATGCATTGAAGCATAAGCCCAAGACATCCTTAGGCACTTTGCTTTTGAAGCATAGCCACGTCTATACAACTGGACTGAGCACAAAATGTACCAGCAGCAAAGTTTGAGAAAACCAGCAAATGAATATAAATTAGATCATTTGTTTTTCATGGTGTTGATCAGAGGAGGAATATTAACTCGATTACTGGAAAAATCCTCTGGTCTGATTTGAATAGCATCAAGGGAATGAATACATTAATTTTGTAGCAAATTAATTAAATGTAGAGCACAACACACCAATAGCACTCTCTATAAATATAACACTCATCATAAGTAAAAGTATCTACTAACATTTCAGTTGAGATATGTATTACAACAGCAAAGGACTTATTAGATAGGAGACTGATTAAATTGCCAATAGCAGTCCATGTGGATATAGTGGAAATATGGAAGAGTTCTTGATGGTTTAGTCACTGTTGCATTATGTTATATTAATAGTTGTGATGACTTTGGAGTGGTTTATGCTGTGTCAGGAATTTGTAAATATATTAAAGCTCAACTTAATGAGCTCTATCTGCTTCATTGCACACTGTGTTGGAATACATCTGACCAAAAATACAATGGAATGGCAATTGGGATGTGATGTTTGACCTTTCAAATCTTTTAACAATGTCCATATTTCATATCATTGTCCTTCAGAAGCACTTCATTCCCCTATGGTGCCTTTAGATGTCTCGAGATCATGAAGGGCTGTACTTAAAAACAGGAGGGGTAACATTTGACCTGGAAACAAATGTAGGGATCATGACATGCATATTCTTTTGAATGCAGGCAGTATGTGACTTTCAAACAACCTGCTGACTTGCATGATATTTGACTGCAGTGCTCTGAGTAGCTATATAGGCTAGCACCACTTAAAGCTAGTATCCACAACTTAAAGGCAAACTGCACTTTGTAGGGAAGATACGTTATGCAAGTAACTGGTGGTTTTGAGGAGGAGGAACACTGACTAATCAAGAGTTTCAGGTCCAGCACTGGAGGTGCTAATGCCAAAGGTGGAGAAGAGGGGAGATGGCTTCCATCCATGTGGGCTTTGGAGACCCCTCTAGTTTAAGGCTGAGAAGGCTATGGGAGCAGGTACGTTTCATAGTCAACATATCTAATGTGGCTGGAAGGACCTGGGTGCAGTGCTGTGAGCCCAATGTCCTCAAATAAGTGCTCAAATTCAGAGAAAATATCTTCAAATCTCATGTTCTCACAACTGAATCTTATGACTAACCTCAGACACTGCTCTGTTCACCAACCCCCTTCACTCACCTATCAATAATCACTGTCAATCATTACCCAACTTCACATTTGCCACCACACCGATCTCACACTTAGTCATGCATCTCATGATTCGCAAAACTGCCAGCTCTTGAACCGTGGCAGGTAAATCACATAAACTCATTGCAACCTGCTCACAGGCACAGCTCCAACTCTCTCGATGAGCAAGTTGGGGTTGTAACTGGGAGCACAGCTGTTGAGAAGCAGGGGACAGGACTGGCTGTATGTACTTATTTGCATGGAGATGGACTTACACTGAATCCTCTTTCTCAGCTTCCCCTCACCTCACAATCTCCCCTGATTTAAAAGCTGCACATGGTCTAATCTCACACTTCTCGCTGCCCCTTTCCCTCTCCGCTGACCCTCAACACAACATAAGCCTTGTGTCTTTCTCTTGTCAGATCCTCAGGGACTTGCCAGTGTTGGAAGACTAAGTGGTGAAAGGTAAGGAAGACAATGATGAAGAGGGAACACTAGCATTCACAGCCACTAGCTCAGACAGTGACACTGCACAAAGCTCAGGGATGGGACTTGCACAAGTATCCTGGAGCTGGATCAGAGGACAAGGGTAGCAGCAATTGCGAATCACCAGAGGATGAGGGTACCCCTGGGTCCTGCTGCAGAGAAGTCAGATGATGATTTTGATGAATCAGAGTACCAAGGACAATGGTTGAGCACGTGCAATGAAAGGGGTAATGCATTGGGAGACCTGCCAGAAAGCCTGTGGTCAATGGTACACAGCATGGAGAAGACCAGTGTTGACTCTATCACAGGACCCTGCTCTACGATCTGTTCCCCAGGTTACATACTGAGACAAACATCGACTGTGCTTGGAGGACCATCAACTTGGTGAAAGGTGCTCTTTGGTCTGCCTGAAACTTGTTGGTCCTCGAGAACAAGGAGTTGACCCTGACCGAATATTGCAGACTGCACATTCCAAGGTCTAGGACTACGTGTTGAGGGACTCACTAAAGCCAAGGTGAAATGGGGAAAGACCACAGTCTGACGTCTTTCTAAAGCGAAATAGGAATCCATTTAGTTATCAGACTGTCCCAATACCTCAAAAATATGTAAATGTAATCTTGTACAAGTGAGAAAAACATTTGGTTTGTTTGTTTGATACAGTCAAACTCCCCAATGTTTGTTTGTTTATTCATGTGCCACTGTGCTGAACCGAACTGCTTCAGTGATTATGTATGTATATAAAGATATTTTAATAAAACATTTTTGAAAAAAAAATCTGGCAAAACTTGTGGCCCATTATTCCCTGCAAGGGCATGGTGAATGACATCATGAGAATATTTGCCCACCCAAGCACGGGGGAGGCAGAGGCATAATGGTTAGTCAATGAATTAGTAATGCAGACCCCTGGGTTAATGATCTGAGGACATCATCGCAAGTGATGAAATTTGAATTCTATAAAAGTCTGGCAAGAAAAAGCCTGTCTAATGGTGACCGTATAACCATTGTCAATTGTAAAATCCCATCTGGTTCACTAATATCCTTTAGAGAAGGAAACCTGTCATTCTTACCTGGTCTGGCCTACATGGGACCTCAGACCCACGACAATGTGTGGTTGACATAATTGCCATCAATAAGAAAACAGCAATAAATGGACCTAGCCAGTGGTATCCAATTCCTATGAACAAATGATAGTTGATTTTTCAGTTTCCATTGTGGCACATACACAATGGCTAGGTGCTGCAAAAGACCATAGCATTCATCCAGCCCCTACTGCCACTCTGCCAGTTCCCTCGCTGCCAGTTCTCAGCCTAGATGGCAGCTGCCAATGCCAAGACGATGCAAGCCAAACTCAGGTTTCTTGGGTCAGAGCTGCTTGAGGTCATCCTTCAAGACGGTCTCTCCTTTTAAAAGTCAATACTTTCCTTCAACCCAACCCTATCACAGTCACTAGGGGGAGCATTACTTAGGAGCATTAAGCCTGGCAAAAACACTCAGAAGGGAGATACAAAAGGAAGGTACAAGGGTGATCTGTTGACTTCTGTATGAAATTTTGGACAGTTTCATTCAAAAAGCTGATTTGACCTGGTCTTGAACTTCGTCCCATGGTCCTTTACCTTTTAGAATTTTGGCCAAAGAAAATTCAGTGCTGCTCAGTGACAGGTGCACAAACAGAAAATACTGGAGAAACTCAGCAGGTCTCACAGCATCTGCAGAGAGAGGAACAGGGTTAATATCTTGAGTCCAATGACTCTTATGTTATTGGACTTGAAGTGCTAACTCTGTTTCTTTCTCCAGGGATGTTTCCAGATCTGTTGAGTTTCTCCAGCACTTTCTGTTTGTATTTCAGATCTCCAGCATCCGCAGAACGTTGCTTTTAACGGGTATGATGTGTGATGGGGTTAGGCGGGGCTTACGTTCTCCTGTAACACAGTCAGATGAGGCAATTACTCAGAAGCCAGCCTCAATGGGAAGGGTGACTCCTCCAGACTCCTTCCCTCCTTTAATTCATCAACCTGTTCCGCAATGCATCACCCAAGACCTGGTGGCAAGGCCTGCACCCACGTGAGTGCAGTACGCAGTGAGTTTTGATGAAGTTTGAGACAGCCTCTGGTGACCACTGTGTGGCAGATAGCCCATGTCATCTAGTAGACACCCTCTAATTTGTAGTGTTGCTGTAAGCACATATGGCAGATCTAGCCACTGTAGATTTCTTTTTATTCCCTTTATTCATTCATGGGGTGAGGGTGTTGCTGGCTAGGCAGCATTTATTGCCATCTCTAATTGCCCAGAGGGCAGGTAAGTGTCAACCACACATTGCTGTGGGTCTGGAGTCATAGGCCAGACCAGGTAAAGATGGCAGTTTCCTTCCCTAAAGGCCATTAGTGAACCAGATGGGCTTTTCCTGACAATCGGCAATGGATTTATGGTCATCATTAGATTCTTAATTCCAGATATTTATTGAATTCAAATTCCACCATCTGCCATGGCAGGATTCAAACTCAGGTCCCCAGAGCATTATCTGGGTGTCTAGATTAACAGTCTAGCGATAATACCACTAGGCCATCGCCTTGCCATGAAGGCATCATGACTGTTGCTACAAAACCACGGGTACATCTGACTATAACCAAACACAAGTTGAACAGTGAGATGGAGTGGAATCCTTGGGTTGCTGTGCATCTCAGAATTTACACATGCCACCAACAAAGCAATATGTGCACTTGCTGTGCCTTAAACATGGGGGCCTTTGTGATCCTTGCAAAGACATACTCTCGCATTGCCTACTTTTGTCCGGTAAGAAAGAATCAAAATCTAATCAGATGTTCCTTCAGTTCCTTAACCTCAGTGCCTTCCCTTAAGCAACAAAGAGCAAACTTGAAAATGTTGGAAAAAACCATTGCTGGCAGCATGGGAGAAACCAGATGTATGTTCACGGCTACAATCGAGAAAGCATAGATTTAGAGAAAGGGGCAAGAGATTCAGAGGGGATTTGGGAAAAAAAGAAGTTTTCACTCAGCGAGTGGTGGGAATCTGGAATGCACTGCCTAGGGAGGTAATGGCAGCTGGAAACCTTACAGTCTTTAAAAAATATTTGGATATCATAACATTCAAGGATATGGGACAAGTGCAGGAAATTGGGATTAGCATGCCTTTAGTGGTAGTAATGTCAGTGCAGACTCATGGACTGAAGGGTCTTTTCTGCACTGTATGAATCTATGAATCACCTTCGCTGTCACTGGCAATGCTGTTCTGTCTCTGCTCTGCGCCTGTGATTCAGACTGCAACAGTTGGTAGACTTCCGAAAGTACCGCTACGGTGAAGTACAGGTGACTTCAACAAAAGAAAAAAAAAGACACCAAACTCAGCAATGACCAGGAAATATTATCCAGCAACTAAACTGAACGTGGTCATTGATCCCTTTAAATAGAGCAGGGTAGGTTAGAAATCTTTCTTGCTGCTTACTACATGTTATTCTGTATAAGGTTAAGAAACGGTGTGCACTGAACCATCCTGGTTGAAAAAGGGAAGTGCATATGGATATGTCCTCTGCAGAATTGTTGTAATGGTCTGTCACACTCATTGCTGCTTTGGTGAAATTAGTTTTTTGTTATTTTCCCACAGTCAATATTTAAAATGATCAATGAAGAAGAACTGAAGACCCTGCCAGAGGATGAGAACACCCCAGAGAAGAGGGCTGACAAAATTTGGGATTTCTTTGGCAAGAAAGAAAATGGTAAACGTGAGACAGCTGGGGACAGGAGGGGGAGGGTAGAGGTGGGGTAGGGGGAAGGTGTCAGGGATTGGAGGAGGTGTAGGAAATATCTGCCTATTTATAGACAGCCACTATACACTGACATCGGGGAGGCACACAGATTTGAAGCTTGGAATACTTACCTACCTGCAAATTAGATATTGTTCCTTCCATAATAAAATTCCATTTATGGTGGGGGAATGAATTAAAAGAAATAAAAATTTCTAACTAACAGTTACAATGAATTAGTAAAGACTATGTGGATATATATGTGTGTATATGATGTATTCTATTAATTCATAACCTTATTGCAGTCTATAATTAATAATAGCAGAGTCTAATTAAATAGTATTTACGAATCCACACTAAAGAAGCTGTCAAGATGTCGGATATTAGAATAGGAGAAATACTGAGCAAGGAGCAATAATCTACCTGTTGCTCATTCATAATCAATAATCCTTAATTATCAGTTACTATTTAGAGCCGTGATTACTGTACTATACACACAACTGACTAAACCAACTCTCAAAGCTTTAAGTCACCACAAGCCTATCAACGCCCAGAGTTTTTGCTAGAACAAGGAAAATAGACCCACTTACTAACCAGTTATTAAAGAAAAAAACGGCATGTCCAGAAATCTCAAAGGAACATTGAAGATGCTGAAAATGTACAATATGTCATCAGCACCTGAAGGTGTAAAGGAACTTTAACTGTTCAGTAAGACTAAGGTTCTATCTTACACATCTTACCTTGTTTGATGCTAAGTGAAATACTATATGTCCCCAGCACTTTCTTGCGACCACGTTACTGGATGCAATTCCTGGTGATGTATGTTTACTTGAAATAGATTCATTTATTTCCAGATCCTTTCATTTCATTTAAAAGTGAGCAATTTCTTTTAAAGGATCACCATCAAATCATCGCTGCTGTTTCACAACTTACATTACAAAGAAACCATATTAAAAAATGAAAGATGTCAAAATTGTACAATGAATATTGAAGTGAAAGTTTATTTTAAATATGTATACTTTTTAATTAAATGTTCTTTTTCACAGATAAATTATCGGAAGGTGAGTTTATTCAAGGTACCCTGGAAAATAAGGATATACTCCGACTGATACAGTTTGAACCTCAGAAAGTCAAAGGAAAGTTAAACACGAACTAACTTTCCCCTCGGAAGCTAATTTTCCAAAGACTGTTTCAAAATTGTTTACAAGTTGCATATTTCTACAAAATGTAGTGTAACCACTGTACATGTACATTCAAAATATTTCACTGTACACTTTCACTATAATATACACACATATTCGGCTGTTTATTGTACACATAATGAATGCAACTGAGATTTTCCTAATCCAAATTGATGGTTAAAGCCTCTTAAATCTCAAGGTCATTTACTGAGATCTGTATATTAACTTTCAGTGATGTTCATTTCCCAAATAAACTACATTTAATTAGGTAATATTATATGCATGGCTTATTGTACTTAACTAACGAGAACTGATATGGATTGTCTTTTGTAAATAATCCAGTTGTGGAATTTGGTGAGATGTTAATCTAATAACAGGGACGGCTATATGTCTACAATTGTCTGAAGTGACATTTTTCCAAAGTTATGGATTTAAGTTAGCTTTTTTTTATACTGTTAAGTGAAATCTGTTGATAGTTGGGGAATACTGAGATAAGTATGGGTTGAGCATTGATTTGAATCCAGACTTAATTGAATTTCAAAAATGAAATCTGGGTTCTGACATAGATTCTTGCCGTAAATTAGCTCAAGACTTGCGTTATTATGAAAGGGAAGGAACTATTCAATTGGGAGAGTTTCCTCAATTAGTTGTCAATTGAATATGTTTTTGAGCAGCAGAATATTTGGCATTAGATTGCAGCCAAAAGGACTTTTGTTTAGGAAGTCAACTTACTTATGCCTACAATTGTTAAATTGGTAGTACAGGCTTTGCTTATTGCTGGGAAAAGAAACAAGTTGTCATGCTTTCTGTTTTATGGTCATCAGGACAGAATGATAAATTTCAGAAAGGAACAGCAATTTATACAGCATGATAACCAGGATACCATTTGCAAGTGGACTCTGATTGGTTGACAGTTACCTGAAAACTTTTATTTAAATTCAAAAGACGTAAGGCAGTTCTGATTGGTTGCCAGTGCAAAGGAAAATGCACGAGGCAACAGTGGCCTCCAAACTTCTAATTGAAAATATACAATGCATTGACAAAATCTTCTTTTGTCTGCAGGGATCTAGGGTCTCCGCATGAATACATGTAACTTCTGGCAAGAGTAAGTGAGTCACATTGTGAGCCCGATTGATAATCTTTAAATAGTCGTTTGTGCAGGTATTGACACACTCAGACTTATTTAGTAAGTGCTGCCCAATTGCGTTTTTTCTGGTCCGAGTTTTGATTTCAAGGGTGACTCCAACACTGCACAATTTGAATGATTCTGTTTTGTTCATCTCTTGGCAGGGTTCAAATTATGCCTTTAAACTTTGACATTCCAGTCATCATGTGGCCCTTGCGTGTTTACATTGGGCAGCTTTGACACACCCACAAATGCAGGAGTTAAACTGGTGGGTGGTAAACGTAAAGTTGCCATAGTCCTACTGGCTGTAGGGCTGCTCTCTCAATATGGAGAGATGATTTAACCTGCTGATTCAACCTGAGGGTCACCAAGCTACAGGCAAGGGGAGATGTTGACAAGGAGATTCCCTCATTCTAATCTTAGTCCATGTGAGATTGGACTCATGCTGTTGGTGTTTTGTTTGTAATTACTCTGCATTGCAAACCAGCCTTCCAGCCAACGGAGCTAACCAACATCTTGCTGGTGGGTAGTGCAAACATAACAGTTGGGTAACAATTGGCTGGGATTGCAACTCCTTCTCTGCATTAATTCCCATCAGATGGGGAGATTAATATGGGAGCACGCTCCTCCAGCATATTTGCTTTAGCAATATATTGCTCGTGTTATGGAGAGTTTCACAACAGTGCTGTCGCCTCACTGAATGTGTCCGTGTGAAGAGGTTACAAGCAACATCAGCAGGTCTCGTACTCTTGAGGATGGCACCAGAGTAAATACTTGATCAGCTGCTATCACGTGAAAAGCCGAAATTTTATAAAATCCAAATGGAACTCCTTCTGAAGAGCAGGACTGAGCAACAGCATTGCTCACAGATATTCGTATTTATTATGGTTTAACTTATGCACAGTTTCTGTTGTATTACACACTGCAGCAGTTTTCACAAACACAGCCTTATTTTTAAGGTCTACGGAGGTAACATCAAGGAATTAGCACTGGCTGTTAGCAGTAACCCTGAGATATTTCAATAACATTTTCAAGTTAAGGCAGTATATTGCCTTTGTTCCTGAATACTAGGAAGCCATCTCATTGATTAACTCATTAACTTATAGAGTCATGGAGTCATACAGCACAGAAACAGACCCTTCGGACCAACCAGTCCATGCCTATCATAATCCCAAGCGAAACTAGTTCCATCTGCCTGCACTTGACCAATGTTTCTCCAAACATTTCTTATTCACGTACTTATCCAAATGTCTTTTAAACTTTGTAACTGTTCTTACATCCACCACTTCCTCTCGAAGAGCATCCCACCACGAACCACACAGTGTAAAAAAGTTGCCCCTATGTCTTTTTTAAATCTTTCTCCTCTCACCTTAAAAATATGCCCCCTACAGTTGAAATCCATCACCCTAGGGAAAAGACACCTGCCATTCACCTTATCTATACCACTCATGATTTTATAAATCTCTTAAGGTCACCCCTCAACCTCTTATGCTCCAGTGAAAAAAGTCCCAGCCTATCCAGCCTCTCCTTATAACTCAAACCCTCCATTCCCAGCAACATCCTGGTAAAGCTCTTCAGAACCCTCTCCAGCTTAATAATATCCTTCCTATAATAGGGAAATTAATTAATTTTAATTTAATTTGAAATAAGACTTTAATTTCCAATTTTGGGCCATGGGAGGTCAGGATAATTGTGATGGCAACATGGCAGATAAGAAGAAAGTCAAAATACAAGAAACCTGAAATTAAAACAAAAAAAAAGTGTCAGATACATTCAGCAAGTCAGACAGTATTTGAGGAGAGAGATAAAGAGTAAGAGAAAATGGACCAAAATTGAACTTCAATCAGGGTTCTGCTCTAAAAGATCACCAGCTTGTCAAATCAGATTTGTCCCTGCCATTTAACTTGCTGCCTGGATCTTTAAGTATTTTAAGCATTTGTTTTTTTTTAATGGCAAGTTAGAAATGTCTCCTAGTTCAGTGGACCAAACATTACATTCTATTGCAATTGTGTAGCTCAATGTTTCTATCAATTCTTGATTGCAAATACTGTCTTGTTATCATCAACAATGAACTGTATTGTTGAGGTCTATCTCCTGCTCATTAAATCAGTGCTGCCTTTGTTTTGACAATAGATTTTGACGTTTTGACACAGCGTACCCAATGTCCTAAATCGAGGCAGAAAGTGCAACATTCAACACCAACTTTATACATGTAAAGGCTTCTTGCTTGCTTTTTTAGAAACATCTCAAAGTGCTTTACAATGTGCTGGAGAAGAATGAATTTGTTAAATATGATGAGGCAAGATTCAAGGAAGTGAGGCCAGAGGAAAAGATTCATTTAGAAGACTTACTAAAGCCAGGTTGGCGATAACATGGCGGATGAACTCAGAAGTTCCAGAATGGAGGAAGGAAGAATAGCAAACAAAGTTAATTAATAGGCTGAAGTGTGGCATAGTGTGAGAGTTTCAATGGGCTGGGCATGGGTTGATGGGCTGAAGGTGTGTTGGGAGGGTTGGTGGGGAAATGAGGGGGGAGAGTGCTGTAGCAGCGGATTCCTGAGTTAGAGTCATAGAGTCATCGAAATATACAGCACAGAAACAGACCCTTTGGTCCAACTCGTCCATGCCGACCAGATATCCTAGATAAATCTAGTCCCATTTGCCAGCATTTGGCCCATATCCCTCTAAACCCTTTCTATTCATAAACCCATCCAGATGCCTTTCAAATGTTGTAATTGTACCAGCCTCCTCCACTTCCTCTAGTAGCTCATTGAACACATGCACCACCCTCTCTGTAAAAAAGTTGCCCCTTAGGTTCCTTTTAAATCTTTTCCCCCCTCACCTTAAACCTATGCCATCTAGTTTTGGACTCCCACACCCTGGGAAAATGACCTTGCCCATTTAACCTATCCATGCCCCTCATGATTTTATAAACCTCTATAAGGTCACCCCCAGCCTCTGACATTCCAGGGAAAATAGCTCATGCCTGTTCAGCCTCTCCCTGTAGCTCAAAACCTCCTTGTAAAAAACAAGGAAAACATCCTTGTGAATCTTTTCTGAGCCCTTTCTAGTTTCACAACATCCTTCTTACAAGAGGGAGGCCAGAATTGCATGCAATACTTGAAAAGTGGCCGAACCAATGTCCTGTACAGCTGCAACATGACCTCCCAACTCCTTGACTCGATGCACTGACCAATAATGGCAAGCTGAATGAAACAAGGTCATGGGGGAAGGGGGGGTTGTGATGGAGGAGGAGCAGAGGTGGGTTGGAGCAAGGAGCGATGAAGAAGATCATAAATCAGTCTGCAGGAAATAGGGATAAGTAGAGAGTGACTTCTACAAACACATACACACACACAAAACCTATCAATTACTTCATGCACAGGCTGTGGACTTAAGCATTCACAATGCTTGGGGAAACCCCAGGGTGTGTGTTTCTGGCAGACAACTGGGCTCCCTTTTATATTTGTTCAAATCTATTTCACAGGCATCAGGAGAGAGTTGGTAAAGGTTGATGAGATTAATAAACTGAATGGTAAAGTGATAAGTGCTGCCTCATAGATTTAAGAAACAAATAGTCTATGTATTCACTTCCTTACAGGTAAGATTTCACTTTCATTTTGCAAAATGTCTGTCAAAACTTTCTTCCTTGCATCGTTGCTGTCGTTGCAATGGCCTTGTGCATATGTAGATGGAGCACAGTGGCCACTTTTAATTGCAGCACCCAATCTCACTATTCATAGAAAACACTTCAATTTTCATAAGATATGCAAGGGATGCTAGTGAATTCTGGGATATCTGCTGAGTGGTGAGTTGTTCCGGGAATGGAACATGGTGAGATGGGGTAGAA